AAACATTTGGGATAATGTAAGTACACAAGTCAGCAAAATATATAACACTGTTCTAGTGGTTTTTGGATATTTTAATAAAAAAATCTTACACATTGTGCCTTTAAGCATGTTCACGGATTCACAGAAATAAACAAAGAGTGCACAATGTTGAGGAATACAGTAACACATTACTATTTTACATGACTTATTTTAAACTGTAATTGTCACATTGTTGTCATGTTAAAAGTAATGTTAACCCTATAAGCCTTCTCTCATCCTATTGATAGTTTAGACTTTTTAGCAAATAAAAGGCCTTTTAGTATAATTATAAACAGTTTTGGGGGTAACGCATTACAAGTAATGCGAGTTACATAATCAGATTACTTTTTTCAAGTAACTAGTAAAGTAACGCATTACTTTTTAATTTACAAGAGAATATCGGAGTTACTTTTTCAAATAAGTAACGCAAGTTACTTTTTCCCAATTTATGTACTGACAGCTCTCCTGTCCCCATGTTGAGAGAAATCAGAAGATGTTACTGTAGTTCTAAAATAAATATGAATATGCATTAATTCATCTCACTCACAATTAAAAAAAAACACTGCAGATTCAGTATTCCTCAAAATGAATAAAAATAATGCAACTCAGAATATGACGCAAACCTGCAATAATTCAATGTTAAACAACACAAATATCCTTTATGTATTTAATCACATTCTATTAACCAATGACTTTGCTTCTGACCTTCGATGATCCAGTGGAGTAACGCAATATTGTAATGCATTACTTTTAAAAGTAACTTTCCCCAACACTGCTTATAAAATTGTCCACCTTCATGATACACTTGTGTTTTTGCTGAGTTTTATAAAGTAAATATAAGAATACATGTTATACTGTTATTTATATTTCAAGATTGGACTGAAGCAGCTTAGGTTTACTTGAGAATCCATATCACTGTATTGCTTTGCATTCTATGTTTTGCGCCCCACAATAAAAACTACAGAGCTTTGATCATAAAACTGAGCATTTAAATGTCGTCTTACCCAGTATTATTGGGAGATGTAGACTGACAATTGATATTTAGATGTATTTCGTGTAAGTAGTCTGTTATACTATTATAAAGATCTTGTTGATTTACATTACAAGCTATCAGAATTTCATCTTTCTTTATGGCCATATAAATAACAGAATCTGCACTATATATGGCATATTTTTGCTCAGTTTGGGCCTGTATGAGCACCATATTCTAAAGATATCACACTATAATATGAGCCATAAAACCCTGCTCTATCAAATATGATATAAAACATAAAACACATATGCAAAAAAAAAATTCATTTTCTTTTATATTTTGTCTAAAGGTACAATAAACTGTTCCTTTAAAAAAAAAATATATATATATATATATATATATATATATATATATAATTTTCTGACTGTTATTTTATATGTCAGACTTTTTTTAAACTAATTTATTGGTTCAGTTGTTTTGGCTACACCAAGGAAGTCTATAAAAGCTTCCTGTCTTTTATTTAAATGGCAGTTGCTTGGCTGGCAAAATAACAGTGTGTGCATTTCATTCACAGAAAACTGGCCTGCAGTTTGGGAATGCGACATCTTATCTGAATCTTGAAAAACTTGGAGAGGGAACATATGCCACAGTGTACAAAGGAATTAGCAGGTTAGTAGACACTCATAGACACACATTCAAAACAGTGTAATACACAAAACTCAGATGTTGCCAATAGGGGGCAATTTATTCACTGAGGCAAGATGAATGTTTTATGGCAGTATTCAGTTAGCAAGCACATTATTCAGATACACCACCCTGTGGCTTTGCTCTTCTGTATAATAGACAGCAAATGATTCTTTTCATTGCCTCCCTGTAGGCATTGCTTGGGTTCTTCTATGGCATCTTGTTTTACATGGATTCATTTTTTAAGGTCATCCTGTAACATATGGATACCCACCCGAGGCTTACACTGAGAGGCAGTTTGATGTTGTTGTCGTAAAACAACCAATATTTTGTAATAAGAAACAGCTCCCATACATCTCTTTGCAGCTGTTTTAGGATAGAAAGCTTTACATTTAGTAATATTTTTGCTTATTAATGTGGTTAAAGGAACAATGTTACCTCACTTAAAGATGATTTTGGAATAGAGTTAAACGCCACAGTGGGTGGAATTTGTATCCTTAAATGGCATCATGAACTTATTCACTACTAAACAACACCAGTAGATGATTTAAATGACAGACAAGATGATAGGCTTTTAAAGACCCCATAAAATTGCAGATTTCTTTTTTGTGTTACAGTATTTCCTACAGAAACATGAAGTTCGGGTGGGACACATCCAAGAGCTCACCCCTTAGATTTAAATAGCCAATAGGCTTTAATTTACAGCCATGAACTATGATTTGCTAAGTGCTATTGCTAGACATAGGAGGGTATTATAATATCAAGGGCACATTATCTTCGCATTTAATTAGACAAAAAGAAAAAATAGAAGAGAAACTTTAAATTTTAAGTTTGAATTTTCTACAAATTAAAGGCATTTGTTTAATTTGTCAACTTTTAAGAATAATCTATAAAAAACCTTATAGCTAATAGAAAAAACTTCCATTTTGATTTCATAAGGTCTTTCAAAGGGAGAGCTTGTGATGGTGGTTATTCTCCAGAAAGTAGAGGTCAGGTAAACTATTCGCAGATGCATGTTTGTGGATTATGCTGAGGTTCTTCTGTGTTTCTGACAGGATAAATGGTCATCTTGTGGCTTTAAAGGTGATTCACATGAAAACTGAGGAAGGAATTCCATTCACAGCTATTAGAGAAGGTACTGCAACAGCGCAACACACACAGCCAAGAAACAAAAGTGCTTATACACACGCAAAGTGAAGTGGGGTACGACATGCTAGTGTGTGTGTGTAAGTTGTACACAATCTAGAATAACAATAAAGAATATATTCAGGAAGTGTCCATTATAGATGTCTGTGATTGAAATATGAATAGTGGAGTTGTGCATTGATCAATTGTTTTTACTTATGTTCATATTTTTATATATTTTTATATGTTCTGACATACTACCATTCCGAAGTTTGGAGGTTAGAAATTTTTTTTATTTTAAAGAAATTAATACTTTTATTCAGCAAGGACACTGTCACTAATTCGGTCCATGGACTTCCGTTTATTCACCACCAGAGGTCACCCTTTCCATTACATTGACTCTCGCACTACACAAACTGTTGCATAGCACCCCGGACTACATATCCCATCATTCTTTGCACGATTTGCACACTGCACTGATTGCACTCATTGCACACAGCTGTTTCTAATCACCTCACTCACTATATAACACCCACTCTAACCACCTTTCGCTGCTGAGTATTGTTTAGCCTGTTCCCTGTTCCGAGTTTCCTTGTTTAGTTTGTTCCCTTTTCCTTGTTTAGCCCGAACCCCATTCCGAGTCTCTGTGTTTTCCTTGTTTTGCCTTGCCTTGCCTGTTTTCGCGGTTTCTGATCTTTGCCTGTTTTCCTGGATTTTTTTCCCTCTCGTCTCGCCCCTGTGATTCTGTCTGCTGATCAGTGACCTACGCTAGCCCTGGGCCTATTCTTGTGTTTTGCCCGCCAAATACCTGTTTGCCATTGTTTTACCCTGCCTGTTTACCACGTCTGATACCACGAATAAAGCCTGCAGATGGATCCACACGTCTCACATCTCGTCAGCCCCGTTACAGACACATTAAATTGACCAAAAATGACAGTAAAGACATTTATAATTTTACTAAAGATTTCTATTTCAAATAAATGTTATTTTGAACCTTGAAAACATGTATCACTGTTTTCAGTATTCATAATAATAGGAAATTAATCTTGAGCACAAAATCAACATTCTGAAGGATCATGTGACACTGACAACTGAAGTAATCGCCGCTGAAAAATAAATTACATTTTAAACTGTATTAAAATAGAAAACAGTTCGGTGAAATTGTAAAAGTAATTCACAATATTACAGTTTTTAATGTATGCAAGGCTCGATGTGTGACTGTACTGCACTACATAATGCTGTATGTCCATTTTATTTGTGATTATTCCCAGCCTCCTTGTTAAAGGGCCTTAAACATGCCAACATAGTCTTGCTTCACGACATCATCCACACGCGAGAGTCTCTCACCTTTGTCTTTGAGTATGTGGTGAGTCTAAGACGCTGGCAGTCGCCTTCCAAGATTATTTTATTAATTTTGTCTACCTGTCAGTCATATTTGACATCTTTTTCCCTCTCAGCAAACAGATTTGGCTCAATACATGATTCAGCATCCTGGCGGACTTCACTCGTACAACATCAGGGTACACAAACGCATGAATGCATAAAAAATACACAAGGTCAGAAAGAATGAGCCGGCTTTCTCACGCTCAGTATGTTTCTTCAGCTCTTCATGTTTCAGTTGCTGCGAGGATTGTCTTATATTCACAGCAGAAGAATTCTGCATCGAGACCTCAAACCTCAAAATTTGCTCATCAGTTATTTGGGGGAACTCAAATTAGCCGATTTTGGTAGGTTTCACTAATGCAAACACTAACATGCTTATAATATGCTCTGTCATACATTCTTACCCAGGTCTTATTCCTTCAGGTCTGGCCCGATCTAAGTCCATACCGTGCCAGACATACTCTGCAGAGGTCGTGACTTTATGGTACCGGCCACCAGATGTTCTCATGGGCTCCACTGATTACTCCACAGCCCTGGACATCTGGTGAGTCCCTGTACACACACACACACACACACACACTCATTCTCCTAGAAAAGTTCATAATAGTAAAAGAGCAACTGGCGCAATTCCCCCCAGTGTCCCCCCACTCTTTGAAAATGTCCCCTTTCAGCTTAATGCTTTATTTTTGACTCGTCACGAAAGTGTATCATATGCATGTGTTTTTAAGTCTTGCCAGTTTAAGCATTCGAACAATTTTAAACCGTTCATGTACAAGAAGATGTGAAAGAGAACTCAATTCGGTGCTCAATTCCGCACTGTTTTCTGTGCGCGCACATGCAGAGAGCCACGTCTCAGACAGCACGCCATTACCGAAGTTCTTGAATGGACAAATACACACAAAATTATGTGAAAATGCCCATTTTTGCATGTATCCTTGTAAGCACAGTCTTAACTGAGTTAGAATGAAAAGTATTAAATGAACGTAAACAGTTGTGAGAAAATCTAATGTGTGTCTGATGCATGCATTTGTTCTTAAAGTGACAGCAGCTTAATATACCTGCTGCTGTCTGTGGCATTAATGTTAATTAAAGAACAAAAGAAAAAATGTAAATCACTCTGCTCACATCTGCTCTTGACTGAATAACTGCTTTAGCTTTAATAAGGATTCTGTATTTAATTTATACAATGTTTTATTTCGTACTTGAATACTGTTAGACTTACCTGAAAAACTTAAAGCACTGTTTATTTAATTGAAATCTTTGTTTTATTGTATTTTTTTGTGCTATTGCTAGTAATTTGTTCATTTGTTCTTAGTTTATTACTGACTGTTTGCTTGTCTTTATCCAACATTATTTATTAAGAAACAAGGTTACATAGGTCAAACACAATGAAACCAATAATAAACAATAACAGTTTTTTTGTGTGGCAAAGCCATTTTGAACCAAATTTTGAAAATCTGAACCAGTTGAAAAAAATCCTTAGCGTTCAGCCCTGTATTTGTACATAAAGTTTGCGTATTGTAATGAATTGACACATGATAAACATTTACATATTTGTCTACAGAACTTTTGGATTGATGTTTTTCCCACTTAAGATATGCAAACGAAATTCTTTACATAATTTCCTGACAAAATTATGTTCTTTGTGTTGTTCAGTTTTGATAATCTGTTGCATATTAAAATGGTATGTTGTAACTGAAATGAAAATCAACTATTACCCAACACTCAGTTTTGGTCCCCCCTGACCAAAATACAAAATTCTGACATACAGTATATGCGTATATGTTGATGTTTAGGGGAGCCGGCTGCATTTTTATTGAGATGCTACAGGGGTCACCAGCATTTCCTGGGTGTGGCAAAGCCAAAGCCAATTTGAACCAAATTTTGAAAATCTGAACCAGTTGAAAAAAATCCTTAGCGTTCAGCCCTGTATTTGTACATAAAGTTTGCGTTTTGTAATGAATTGACACATGATAAACATTTACATATTTGTCTACAGAACTTTTGGATTGATGTTTTTCCCACTTAAGATATGCAAACGAAATTCTTTACATAATTTCCTGACAAAATTATGTTCTTTGTGTTGTTCAGTTTTGATAATCTGTTGCATATTAAAATGGTATGTTGTAACTGAAATGAAAATCAACTATTACCCAACACTCAGTTTTGGTCCCCCCTGACCAAAATACAAAATTCTGACATACAGTATATGCGTATATGTTGATGTTTAGGGGAGCCGGCTGCATTTTTATTGAGATGCTACAGGGGTCACCAGCATTTCCTGGAGTAGCTGATGTTTTTGAGCAGCTGTTGAAGATTTGGGCAGTGAGTCTGTTTGTGAGAATGTACTAGAATTGTGTGAAATTTCTCTTCTATCCATTTATTTATCCTCCTCTCCTCCCGTTATTCATCTCTCCTCTTCTTTCCGAGGTCCTCGGGGTCCCGACCGAGAAGAGCTGGCCAGGTGTCAGTGATCTGCCAAACTATAAACCAGGTGTGTGCAAAATCCTTCTTTCGTCTGTCTCTGTACTGTAATCTCACAGATGTGTCCACTACGAGAGGTGATTTCCTGCCTCAACACAGATTTGTCTCATACATTAAATGCAAGCGTCTGTGTTAGTTACATAAAAATGTATTTAATGTGTTAGCATCTAAATGAACTGGTTTTATTTAAAGTCAAAGTAATGTTTTAATATAAACTTGACTAAATTATGTTACAGCAATGAAAGTAATTTTAGGGCTTAGATCAAGAAGAAATATGTTCTTAAAGTGTTAGTAAACCCAAAAATGAAATTCTGTCATCATTTACTCACTCTCATGTGGTTCCAAACCTGTATGACTTCCTTCCTTCTGTGGAACACAAAATATGTTTTGAGTTATGTTGTTATTCATTGATAATCTTCCCCTAAATCATAGCTCTCAAATCTCATTCACACATGCACATATTTAGACTTGCCAAATTCAGATGCGTCATGCAATTCATCAAAGCAATTCATTCTAGCATGCCTCATCTCATATGGTCTCTAAAGATTTTAAATATAGCCGGAAATCATACGGGCAGTTTTAATGGTTCCTTTTAGGGCAGTGGTTCTCAAACATTTGGACTCCAAGACATCTCATTGTCAACAACAACATTCAAAGGCTGCATGACTTTTCCAGTTGTTCATGATTTACTTTATTGTTGTGAAGTATAAGGATTTTTAAAAATGTTTTTTACTCACAATTTCTATCTGAAAAAAATAAAATAAAATAGGTTAGATCTTGAAACTATAAAACATTTTAATTATTAAAATGCTAATGGAGTTAATGGATATATTATTCAATTTCTAATTTAAAGGTCTAGAAATCACACTTTTAAAATAAGGCCTCGTGAATTCAGGTTTCCCAAGACTGTGGTTCTTCAAAGAGGAAAAAAAAGCAATTTGGAGGGTAATTTAAAGTAAAGAATATCTAGATTTTTTTTCTTGTTTAACATATTTTAATAATTGTTTTATCTTATTTTAAATAATTTTAAAGTCATCCTGAGGCCCCTTTGAAGTTTGCTAAGACCCCATTTGAGAACCACAGTTTTGGGAATAAAAACAATATCTTGGTACCATATTGATAGATATTTTTTATTTATCGATATTGGATATTGGACACTGGACATTTTTTCATTTAGATTACATTTGCCACTAATGCTCACATAAAGTTAATCTTTAATTTAATAACACTGTTAAATGTAATCAAATCACAAAATGAATAGTAATGACACCTAAATTCACTTGTAGCATTTAATCTATTTGTTTTAGGGGTTTTTTGTGTGTGTTTGTTATTATAATATATTTGGACAGAATGTATAGAATTTTAATATCAGCAATTTATATATTATAATCTGTAACATATTGTACAGTACAATACGATAATATGCTATCCACCTATGCTATGCTTTTTTTTTTTTGTTTGTTTTTAAAATTAAAAAGACTTAACCATTAGTAACTTGAATGTGCAAGACTTCCAGTGTCAGGTGAATCCAGTTATATTAGCTGTACAAAAACTGTTTCCTATGCTGCTTGATGTTGCAAACTGGTAATTGTTATCATATTATATACATTTATTATTGTATAAACAATATAAAGTTTACTGCACTTAGTTATTTGTTGTTTATTTACCTATAGCAGCTAATAAATCGGAAGTCTTGCACATCCACATTAAAATTGCTTGCTTTTGTATTGTAAAAACTAAGGTGTATATGCTCCAAAATATCAAGTTTCTTCCATTTAAATTTCCAATTTTGTTCTCCATGGAAGAACGTCATATGTAAATGATGACAGAATTGTCGTTTTTAGTTCACTTTTCCTCCACACGCTCAATTCTTACAGTTTAATAGATGTATCTGTTATTTTTAAACATTCAGTAAATACACATGGAGCCATACATTTAGAACTAGAACTACACATAGACACCGTCATCTGTGTGCACTGCGTGTGTGCTTGGCGATGTGTAGGTGTAAACTTGTTGCCAAGAGCCTGTCGTTTTAATAACGTGCAGTCATACAAACAGAAAATCGCTAGAGCAAATTCACAGAGTTGTGCTGAAGCTGTGTTTCCAGTATAAATCATTTTGTGTGTATAGGTGTTCTGTTAGCGGTTGTGTTGGCCGTGAGTTGACTTGACACCTTTGAGTCAGACACAAACACACACCTTCACACACTCATGCAGGAAAGGGGGTTGATGTCTTTCCATTGCAGTTCTGGAAATAAACTCATTACACAGGTGCACAAATGAGAAATGTGAGGTGGCTTTGGGATATATGCCTCATTTAGAGTGTGTGGGTACTGATGGAGATGGTGTGTGTGGTAGGTAAACTGCTGGCAGGCCTTGAATCTGGGTTTACCCAAGCCCCAGGCTGCTCTGTGTGTGTGTGTGTGTGTGTGTGTGTGTGTGTGTGTACTGTGTGTTGGAGAGAAGCTACCTGAACCCGCTGTGGTCTCTCAGGTATATCCAGGTGTGCTGAAGCGTAAGTGTGGCCTCAGGTTTCAGCCAAGAATGACCGAGTGGCCTGTGACCACAGACACTAACAGAAGGACACTCATAATAAAGCTTCTTCAAACGATCTTTATAGCAAGAAACATTTTTACATTTATAGGCAGGGGTGCACATAAGTGGTCTGCAGGTCCGCATGCGCGACCAAGAATCTGGGTTTACCCAAGCCCCAGGCTGCTCTGTATGTGTGTGTACTGTGTGTTGGAGAGAAGCTACCTGAACCCGCTGTGGTCTCTCAGGTATATCCAGGTGTGCTGAAGCGTAAGTGTGGCCTCAGGTTTCAGCCAAGAATGACCGAGTGGCCTGTGACCACAGACACTAACAGAAGGACACTCATAATAAAGCTTCTTCAAACGATCTTTATAGCAAGAAACATTTTTACATTTATAGGCAGGGGTGCACATAAGTGGTCTGCAGGTCCGCATGCGCGACCAAAATAAAAAATGCGCTGTGTAAATAAGTTCTGACAGCGCATCTGCTACCAACATGGTTGACAGCTGTTAATGCACAATTAGATCGACAAAATGTAATACTGTATGCGATTTCTATTAAAACTGAAAGCATAAATCTAGGCTACCTTCTGCCGTTTTCAAAGCACAATGCAAAACCGTGACATTTCATTCACTGATGCGCTTCAGTCGGCAGTAGGGATGGGCGTATCAATCCTGAAGTATCGATATATCGATACTAATGCAAGTATCGAAAGTATCGATACTCAAATAAAAAATATCGATACTAAGGTGTTTTATTTACCAGTGATTTTGTTTATTTAACAAAAAAAATTATGCGTACATTATGCATTGAATTGGATGAATAACCTAATTTAGCGATTAACTGTGTAGGATAGAACTATTTTCCTGCTCATCTGAACCAATCAATCACAGAGAGCGTTCACTCACTTCTGACCTTCTGACGGTGCATTTCATGCATGACAGGGCTGCGTTTCCCAAAAGTGTCATAAGAAACCATTGATGCTTTTGGGAACTGCAGCCTAGAGCAATGCTTTTCAGAGGACAGAAAAAAAACATATGTTTGAGTTATTTCACAATAAATAAACTGAAATTGTAGCCTACATAGTTTGTGCAATTACATTTATTTAAACTGAACGTTAAAAGTTCATATTGATCATGTTATATTCTGTAATTTTAGTATAAATCATACACTGTCAGAATAAAAATGTTGCATTTTATGCATGCAACAGCCCGTCACTGGCAGTCGCTTATGAAAACGAACCATGGTTTTACTAAATTTCAACTATAGTATTTGTTGATTTCCATGGTTATCACTACAGTAAACATATTTTAACAAAAATATAACTTAATATGTTGCAATTAAGGTGTATTGAATGTTAAAATGTGTTTCAAATATAAAGTTAGTGGGTATCATTACCCATTTTACTCTTAGTAATTTAATAATTTCAGTTTAGAAGTATCGTATCGGTATCGATATCGACGATACTGGCCTTTAAAAGTATCGGTATCGTATCAAAAACAAAATAAGCGGTATCGCCCATCCCTAGTCGGCAGCGCCAAACTCGGAAGCGCATATACTTGCCGGCAACCCGCTACGATGAAAGCCTGCTGATTTTAAGTTTGAAAATGATGAAATTCAAAATTCAAGTACATATTAGCATTTTATTTTTAAGTTTACTATAAAATAGTTGTATTTGCATTTAATACTCCCTTTTTATTTTAAAATATAACAGTATTATCACACTTTATTATTTAGTTTATTATTTTATTTTAAAAAAACTAAATAAATAAAGTGCAACAAAATTATCAATATGATTCTTTTTTTTTTTATAGTTGTATTTAATGGGTTTCACTATGTGCAGTGTGAGGACCAAAATAAACTGAAATTGTAGCCTACATAGTTTGTGCAATTACATTTATTTAAACTGAACGTTAAAAGTTCATATTGATCATGTTATATTCTGTAATTTTAGTATAAATCATACACTGTCAGAATAAAAATGTTGCATTTTATGCATGCAACAGCCCGTCACTGGCAGTCGCTTATGAAAACGAACCATGGTTTTACTAAATTTCAACTATAGTATTTGTTGATTTCCATGGTTATCACTACAGTAAACATATTTTAACAAAAATATAACTTAATATGTTGCAATTAAGGTGTATTGAATGTTAAAATGTGTTTCAAATATAAAGTTAGTGGGTATCATTACCCATTTTACTCTTAGTAATTTAATAATTTCAGTTTAGAAGTATCGTATCGGTATCGATATCGACGATACTGGCCTTTAAAAGTATCAGTATCGTATCAAAAACAAAATAAGCGGTATCGCCCATCCCTAGTCGGCAGCGCCAAACTCGGAAGCGCATATACTTGCCGGCAACCCGCTACGATGAAAGCCTGCTGATTTTAAGTTTGAAAATGATGAAATTCAAAATTCAAGTACATATTAGCATTTTATTTTTAAGTTTACTATAAAATAGTTGTATTTGCATTTAATACTCCCTTTTTATTTTAAAATATAACAGTATTATCACACTTTATTATTTAGTTTATTATTTTATTTTAAAAAAACTAAATAAATAAAGTGCAACAAAATTATCAATATGATTCTTTTTTTTTTTATAGTTGTATTTAATGGGTTTCACTATGTGCAGTGTGAGGACCAAACCAAATATCCAGGTTCTCTCATGAGAAACAGGGTGGAAAAACTTATGTTGCACCCCTGTTTATAGGGTTCTTAAAAGTGGTTAGAATTTTTCTGTGAATGTTGAAAAAGTTCTTAAATTAGTACTTTACTCAAAAAAAGTGGAAATTCTATCTCACTGTCTCAAACAAAAAGCAGTTATTTTAGTATTATTTATATACAGTTATATATGGGTGGGTAATATGACATTTCACAATATGAGTAGGCCTAACTTTATTTCATGATAACAATATATATCACAATATTGTTGTTTTTATTTTTTGTAATCAAGTTAGGACAAATACAATATAAGACACACTTTATATCATGGCCACAATATATATTGTGATACTGCCCAGCCCTGCTATTATTACTATACTAGAATTTATTAATATTATTAGCTTTTATTTGTTCTATTTTCATTTTAATGTTGTCATTGTATTAGTCAGGGGTTTAAGCAGACTAAATTATTAGTTTTCAATGAAAGATCAATTTATGAGTTATGAGTATGGTACGTGAATGTATAGTTCACAATAACATCTATAACATGTATTCACAAAATAGATATACAATTTTCATCTCATCCCAACTTTAATAATGCTCCTTTTTGAAGCTTGGCAGCCCCAGTCATCACTCACTGTCTTTGTATGCAAAAGAGCAGCGTGAACATTCTGCTAAACATCTCTTTTCATGCTCCACAGAAGATATTTGGAACAAAACAAGGAATAGTAAATAATGAAGGCTTTCATAGATTGTCTCGTGGCTCATTGTCTTAACGTGCTCTGAGTGAAGATACCTGATCAGAGCTGGATGTTCTGGTGGTCTGTTAACTAAAAGAGCTCTCTTTGTGTTCCTGTAGAGTGGTTCCTGCCCTGCAAGCCCCAGCAATTTCGAGATGTCTGGAAAAGGTAAGACCAGTTCACGTGTGCATGCTCGTGCGCGTATGTGTGTGCATTTTGGCTCCGAGTGGGAACAGAAGGGTTTTTGTATAGCGGTCCTCATCTCCCTTCCACCACCCCCACCTCTAATGGATGTCTGACCCATAGCTCTCTGTATGTGTGTGTGTGTGTGTGTGTGTGTACATTGGCTCAGACTCGCTCAGTTACCTTATAAGACGGAGGATCTGGCCCAGCAGATGCTGATGATGAATCCAAAGGACAGGATTTCAGCCCAGGATGCATTGCTACACCCATATTTCAACACACCATTGATGCTTTTGGGAACTGCAGCCTAGAGCAATGCTTTTCAGAGGACAGAAAAAAAACATATGTTTGAGTTATTTCACAATAAATAAACTGAAATTGTAGCCTACATAGTTTGTGCAATTACATTTATTTAAACTGAACGTTAAAAGTTCATATTGATCATGTTATATTCTGTAATTTTAGTATAAATCATACACTGTCAGAATAAAAATGTTGCATTTTATGCATGCAACAGCCCGTCACTGGCAGTCGCTTATGAAAACGAACCATGGTTTTACTAAATTTCAACTATAGTATTTGTTGATTTCCATGGTTATCACTACAGTAAACATATTTTAACAAAAATATAACTTAATATGTTGCAATTAAGGTGTATTGAATGTTAAAATGTGTTTCAAATATAAAGTTAGTGGGTATCATTACTCATTTTACTCTTAGTAATTTAATAATTTCAGTTTAGAAGTATCGTATCGGTATCGATATCGACGATACTGGCCTTTAAAAGTATCGGTATCGTATCAAAAACAAAATAAGCGGTATCGCCCATCCCTAGTCGGCAGCGCCAAACTCGGAAGCGCATATACTTGCCGGCAACCCGCTACGATGAAAGCCTGCTGATTTTAAGTTTGAAAATGATGAAATTCAAAATTCAAGTACATATTAGCATTTTATTTTTAAGTTTACTATAAAATAGTTGTATTTGCATTTAATACTCCCTTTTTATTTTAAAATATAACAGTATTATCACACTTTATTATTTAGTTTATTATTTTATTTTAAAAAAACTAAATAAATAAAGTGCAACAAAATTATCAATATGATTCTTTTTTTTTTTATAGTTGTATTTAATGGGTTTCACTATGTGCAGTGTGAGGACCAAACCAAATATCCAGGTTCTCTCATGAGAAACAGGGTGGAAAAACTTATGTTGCACCCCTGTTTATAGGGTTCTTAAAAGTGGTTAGAATTTTTCTGTGAATGTTGAAAAAGTTCTTAAATTAGTACTTTACTCAAAAAAAGTGGAAATTCTATCTCACTGTCTCAAACAAAAAGCAGTTATTTTAGTATTATTTATATACAGTTATATATGGGTGGGTAATATGACATTTCACAATATGAGTAGGCCTAACTTTATTTCATGATAACAATATATATCACAATATTGTTGTTTTTATTTTTTGTAATCAAGTTAGGACAAATACAATATAAGACACACTTTATATCATGGCCACAATATATATTGTGATACTGCCCAGCCCTGCTATTATTACTATACTAGAATTTATTAATATTATTAGCTTTTATTTGTTCTATTTTCATTTTAATGTTGTCATTGTATTAGTCAGGGGTTTAAGCAGACTAAATTATTAGTTTTCAATGAAAGATCAATTTATGAGTTATGAGTATGGTACGTGAATGTATAGTTCACAATAACATCTATAACATGTATTCACAAAATAGATATACAATTTTCATCTCATCCCAACTTTAATAATGCTCCTTTTTGAAGCTTGGCAGCCCCAGTCATCACTCACTGTCTTTGTATGCAAAAGAGCAGCGTGAACATTCTGCTAAACATCTCTTTTCATGCTCCACAGAAGATATTTGGAACAAAACAAGGAATAGTAAATAATGAAGGCTTTCATAGATTGTCTCGTGGCTCATTGTCTTAACGTGCTCTGAGTGAAGATACCTGATCAGAGCTGGATGTTCTGGTGGTCTGTTAACTAAAAGAGCTCTCTTTGTGTTCCTGTAGAGTGGTTCCTGCCCTGCAAGCCCCAGCAATTTCGAGATGTCTGGAAAAGGTAAGACCAGTTCACGTGTGCATGCTCGTGCGCGTATGTGTGTGCATTTTGGCTCCGAGTGGGAACAGAAGGGTTTTTGTATAGCGGTCCTCATCTCCCTTCCACCACCCCCACCTCTAATGGATGTCTGACCCATAGCTCTCTGTATGTGTGTGTGTGTGTGTGTGTGTGTGTGTGTACATTGGCTCAGACTCGCTCAGTTACCTTATAAGACGGAGGATCTGGCCCAGCCTGTGCTGATGATGAGTCCAAAGGACAGGATTTCAGCCCAGAATGCATTGCTACACCCATATTTCAACACACTTCCACCTCCGTTAATGCATCTAAGGGACAGTAAGTGCTGAAGAATTTCACTATACGAACGGAATGCACGCCATTCCAGCTTCAAAGGTTAATCCGGTCCCGTTACACACAAGATCAAAGTTAAATCCCTCTTAGTTACTGTCAAAACTGGCAACCTTTTCAACACCGACTCAAGATGAAAAAAGATTATGCAATCATGTCTTTTTCCTCCTGTCTCGTTTCTCATTCTCTAACCTTCTCTCTTTTTCCGTCAGCTGTGTCCATCTTTAAGGTGCCGGGCGTGAGGTTAGAGACGGAAGCGAGGGATATCTTCAGCCCCAGCAGACGAATGAAATCGCCTCTCGCTCCGCTGGCCGAGTGCTGGTGAAAATCTCACCTTTGTAAATAGTTGGTGTGCTTGTAAAACCAAAATCACAGCAGTAAACGTGACACTGTTGCAGCATGACGGTCAGTTTGTATGTTGCTTATTCAGAACTTAATCACCTTCATCAAATATATTTCTGAAAGAATATCAGATTCTCTTTCATAAGATTCATGTTTTTACATTTTGGACCAGTATTACCTAAAAATGTTTTACAGTCGATCATGATGATCCAAGTCATCAGGATCCACTGTATATCAAATGCATTCTATATTTTGAGATCCATATCCACCTTATTTTTTAACATAAGAAAGGGTGCGGCAATTTGTAACTTGAATGTGCGAGGCTTCCAGTTTAGTTGTACAAAAATAATACTAGTTTTATAATTAGTTATATGTAATATTAGTTTATGCTGCTTGATATTGCAAACTGGTATTTGTTATCATATTATTTGAATTCATTATCATAAACGCACTAGTTTGTTGCACAGATAGTTTTACTATTTACAGCTTTTTCTTATTCTTCCAGTTACCTGGAGCAGTTAATGATAGCTTACTTTTACGTTTTCCTGCCTCTCTGCAAACTGATGTCCAGAGACTGTTTACTGCACACTTTCATTGTGAATAAGTTTCAATTAAATGCACTTAATTTTATATGTAATTTAGTTTTTGTATATATTGCACAGAAAAGAGAATGAGTGTGCGAGAGATGATTTTGAAATATGATATGAAAATATGTGGAAGAATATACCTATAAATATTTCAAAGCTCTATTGTGTAGTGTGCAGGTGAAAAAAAATGACTTGTGTGCATTTATAAAACACACCTGGAGAGAGTCTCACCCGAAATTACCTGTTTTTGTACAGCACATACTCATATTTCTCCTGTACACTGATGGCCACTGTCGGAACATGTTCAGAACTGTTTTTAGCTGTGTTTGTATCAAGTTCATAATAAATCAGAATCTTTACTTTTTTTTTTACATATTAGCAATGTCTGTATATGATGCTGAGATTCAAACATTTGCTGCTTCTGAGTCTACGTTTTAAAGCAGCGATGTACATCAATATTGGTCACCAACAACAACAGTTTCAAATAATAGGAACAATCACATTGCCAGTCACTCAATACTGATGTCATAAATGTATGTGCCGGAGAACATACACACACACTTCAACATCATGCAATACTGTGAAAGCTGTGTATGTGTTCATACAATTGTATACAATTCCACTGTCTTGACTTCTGAATAAATATTTTTTGACAAAAAAATTAAAAAATTAATTGCTTGCCTGTTCTTTAGTTTCAGTGGAGTGGGGTAGTGAAATAATGCATAAGTAAAAATGAAGTAAAAAAAATTATATATTTATAATTTTATATTATTATTGGTTTATTCTGCTTTATACAGCTTGGTTGGAATTAATGAGAATTCACATTTTTTTTATTTTGTTAGTAGCAGTATGTTTCTCTTCAGGTTTATACATGGATCATTCAATGATGGGCCAACAAGATACACAATCTTTAAAAAATAATAATTTGAAAATATTTGACTCATTTATTTTTTTACAGTTTATTTTATATTTTACAGTGTAAATAGGTCTCATAAATCTACACTTAGTACATGGACATTTCCGTCCCAATCAACCCAGAGTCTCAGCCAAACATTTGACTATGGTCTACTTATTCTGGCCAATTACCAATTACCGCCCATTAGACAACAAGATACCTCCTACCAACCGCTGTTTGCTTTGTTTTTGTTTTTTTTTACTGAATCTGAAATCAATGATGCAACAAATAATTAAAGGGGTCATATGATGCTGCTAAAAAGAACGTTATTTGGTGTATTTGGTGTAATGAAATGTGTTTATGCGGTTTAAGGTTAAAAAAACACATTATTTTCCACATACTGTACATTATTGTTTCTCCTCTATGCCCCGCCTTTTTGAAACACGTCGATTTTTACAAAGCTCATCGGTCTGAAAAGCGAGGTGTGCTCTGATTGGCCAGCTATCCAGTGCATTGTGATTGGCCGAATACCTCAAGCATGTGACGGAAATGTTACGCCCCTTACCATATTGTGATGCCGTGTCCGGCCGGAGCCACGAGACAAAAACATTAAAACCCATTATAAACGAGGCATTTGTTGCATCCAGTGGGGACATAATTACGGATTATAATGACTTATACTGTCTTTTTACGTGTTGCATTGCATCGGGCCGCATAAACATAAAACCATGTCTGCATTTGTGATCGGAGAAATGACAAACAACAAGCCCTACTCTACACTGCCCAAAAAACT